GCATCATTTTCTTTTCGCATCGAGACCAGTTACACGATCGGCGAATGACAGCTGAAACTAGATCATTTGCACAGCCCTTGGTTCGCAGGAACACTAGCAACCAGAGCCTTCCACTCTACGCCGGCATCATTTTCTTTTCGCATCGAGACAACTTACACGATCGACGGATGACATGCAGCTGAAACTAGATCATTTGCACAGCCCTTGCTTGGCAGAAACACTAGCAACTACAGCCTTTCTACATAAATACTATTTTTGGCAATCTAAGTACACGTGAGCATAAAGTTTGTCTTTGTAAATGATTATGGCGTATCTTATAAAGCAGGGCTTTGGACTTGGTGTTTATTCACTCACTCAACAGTTTTCCTGGAGAGACATCATTTTGTCAGGTAAAGCATAGCTTAAACCTGCTAACTTATATTTTCAAATCAGATTTAAGAGGGTACTTGAGATTGCACATAAGTACTATGGTATAAATTCCGAATCGTACTCGAGATCGTGCGATTTTTCGTTTCTAATCGGCACTCAACAAAATTGAGCACCTTATTTGGAACTCTACAGAGTACGATTTGCGATGTAATTGTACTCCTTTTGTCCAATCAGAATCGAGTAGCTTTCTTGAGTGTATTATAAGTGTAGGAAATCGCACGATCTCGAGTACAATTCGGAATTCATAGGGCGAATGATAATTTGAGAGTTTTCAAAATTGGACTAACCTTTAGGCAAGAATCAGAATCGAATAATTTTGTTCAGTGTATAATACAATAAATTGTGTACATTCTTTTCCAGGATGGTTCGTTCTTTGTGCTTCTTCGTGCTTCTTCCTGTTGTCCTGTCTCAAGTACAGCAAGGACCAATAGGAGCGGGGCAAATTCCAGACGGTATTTTTTTACTCATTATTATTTCAGTGAATTAGAAGGAAACGTAAACCCCGCATGAAGGTCTGTACTTGTACTAACGTCTCGAATGTTAGTCCTTCTTCGTCGGAGTAAATGAAAATTTTAGAAGATAAGAAGATGTGTGTCGTATTCAACACACCAACACAGTCCCAACTAGTAACCACTAGTCATTCTTATTCACTTGATGTATTCAACACACCAACACAGTCCCAACT